AGCCCAGAGCTTGTTTCAGGGTTCGATCTGTGAGTTAGCCATGCCCTGACTTAGATCAGCCCAGAGGTTATTTCAAGGTTTGATCTGTGAGTTAGCCATGCCCTGACTTAGATCAGTCCAGGGGTTGTTTCAGGGTTAGATCTGTGAGTTAGCCATGCCCTGACTTAGATTAGCCCAGAGCGTGCTGTCAGTAAAATTTGAAGAAGTGGGACAAAATGACTATAGAGTAAATTCACATCTTGTTGAGAGTTAAAGTGGTATAAGTTGGGCTCCCTGTGGTGCCCACTCTTACCGTTCTCATGATTTTGTTATAGCATCAGAAGGAGACACAGGGTTTGCAGGACGAACAAAAGCCTTGTCATCACTCGAACCACTTGATCTCTACACTGACAAGACACTTGTTAATATCGTTAATGCCATCAAAGCAAGTGGTCCGCTGGCTTGTTATGTTGCTGTTTCCATGACAATCATTGGTTCAAAGTAAGACTGATCATGTTACTTCCATGACAATCATTGGTTCAAAGTAAGACTGATCATGTTACTTTTATTTACCTACAAGAAAATATCCTCTTTCTCTTTTGATGTATACTCCTGTAGCTGTTTTTGATGACCACAGATTTAACCTTGTCTGTAAATCAGCTATTTACATGTACCATTACTCCAATCTGCGGTGGTTAAAAAATTTTGTATTGCCTGAATTTTTAATTTAATGTGCTATCCCTGTTCATTTAATCTGCTATGATCAATCTTAATTCAATCTGCTATCCATCTTCATTCAATCACCAATAAGTACCACCAATTAGTAGCATTTGAATGTATGTAGAGGAAATGTATTGTTTCATTCTGCCTTGCATAATCATGACAAACCATTATTATGATTAAATATTAACAATTATCAATTATTATCTGTCCTTTTCTACTCGGCAGCCCTGACCTGTTTGTCAGTGATGGTCTTAACCACCTTACTATCATCCTGAATGAAAAGTGCTTTGATGCCGTGTTACGAATTGTGTACAATGTTACCCCCATGTTTTTCTCTTGTCCAGACAAGTTGGTGGAGGAAAACAGGTATGTTAGACTAACTACTTTATGAAATAATTATGAAATAAGTAATGATTTATAATCAATGAATCATTATTAATTAATTATTTTATAATAATCATAGCACTATATAGCATTCCTAGTAAAGAAAGAAATAATACTCAAGGGAATGACACATGGTCTGCAATGGGAAAACATTGCACCATAGCTGAAAAGCATTCCTAGTAAAGAAAGAAATAACACTCAAGGGAATGACATATGGTCTGAAATGGAAAAACATTGTATTATAGCTGAAAAGCATTCCTAGTGAAGAAAGAAATAATGCTCAAAAGAATGACACACAGTGCTTCAATCCATTGTAGGTTCACCAAGATTCTCCATCGTCTTTGTCAGCTAGACGGAGAAAGTGCTTATTATGCCGAAAAACTCTTGCTTTATCCAACAGCTGGCGAGTACAGTGGAAGGCTTTCAGGCATTATACAAGTAAGTCATGCAGTGAACTTCCTTAGAACAAGAAATCTCATTGGTCTGCTGTCTTTGTTGTATTTCCGAGGTGGAGAAACTAAAGGCTTGTTCAAGTTGACATTGAAGTGCATTGTTGGAACGTTTTGGAGGACAAAATAGATGCCATCTTGGAAATATGTCCTGGCCCTAAAAACAGTCCCACGAGGCACGGCAATGCCAACTTGACCCAGTCTTTTACTCACCCTCAGGACAGCTAAAAGTTTGTTTCATTAGTCCCTTTCCCTTTTCACAAGGGTTTTTCTAGTTTTCCTTCCTCCATTCTCATCAACCCAGTAAATGACTGCTCATCATAAGCATTCAACCAGCATTGACAGGGCAGAAAAACGGTTTTTGGCCTTTTGCCATAAGGACAGCTTACTATAAGTATTTAAGCTCAATATTCTGTAAACATGTTCTTTAGGACGAGCCAAATAGCAAAATATCAAATGCGACCAAAATGCATATTTGAGATATAAAGCCGTGTACTTTGGGAGAGATGATATTTTGATCAGCAGAAAAACTGACATTTTCACGAATAATAAGTAGATTTACTCTAATAAGTCTACAAAATTTCGTTGCAAGTTTCGAGCATCAGTTACACAAATGAAATGCTTAAGAATTTGGAGTATTAAATGCAGTTAAATAAAATCGAGAAAGTAGCGGGCTTGTTGTTTTTCTGCCAGTCACCGGCATTAGGAAGGTCAAGGATTTTGTCAGAGTTTCTGTTTCAGCTAGTGACAAATGTAAAATCATTCCATACTTCCTTTCTAGGTTATAAAGTAACCTAATGTCATCATTAATATTGATTATTAGAGCCACATTGACAAGTCTCATTTTCATCGTGATTCTCCTTGTCCATTAAGTGCTGCAGAGTTCTGGATGAAAGCCTTATGTTCTTTGCCTAACTGGTATAAGTAAGTAAAACAGTCAATCGGGTTTCTTGTGGTATCCTCATACCCCATTCACACCTAAACATGTTTAGTTAAACTATGTTTTCATTAGGAAAAAAATTGAGAAACTAGAAACCTACAATATAATGAAACTTTCTAAAATATTGTCACAGCAAGACAAAGTATAGTTTACATGCATTATTTCACCAATTAATATTGTGCAGTGTTCGTAGATAGTTTTCCAAACCTGTTTAGTTAAACCACTTTAAAACATGTATAAGCCTTGGTGTGAATGGGGTATTAGGCTTTTATGTGTGGTTGGGAGAGCCTACGTAGCAAGCATATGATGTTAAGTATTCTCATAAAAATACAATGAATTACACCTAAGATAATATTAATAGAGCAAGACAATGGAATACAATAGAATACTCTTGGCCTCTAGTGTTTGTCCACCGTGCATGTTTTCTAGTGAAGTTTAACCATATTGTAGTGTAATGTTGACGAATCTGATTAAACTAAACTAAACTAAAACAATAGAATACAGCAGTTTTTCTATTAAATATATACAGAGTGCTAATTAATTGTTGGTTATCGGTCGGTTATCCCATGTAGTCATAGATCTACATTTAGCCTAAAGGACCTATTGGATTGTAAAACGCCCTGTTATTTTTACTGCTCATGCACTATGCTGGCATTATGTTGACCTTGTGTTGTAAGAATGACAGAAATCTGGGGTTGGGAGTGACAAAATCCACAGGATTCCCATAAATTCAATTGTTTGTATTTCAGAGATGGATGCATTCAGTATTTACTTGACGGTCTCATGAAGGCAGCATTCAAGATTGATGGTGGTCTTGATGCGACCCAGGCCCAGCTCATTGATGCCTACAAGACAGTCCTCAAAGAGACTGGTAACCCGGGTCTTTTTGCATCTATTCTCTCATTGGTCAGTTTGAGTTCCACAGGGCCCCCACTACTCTGGGACATCAAGGTAAAATACTAACCTCCTATACACTGAATAGAAACATGCCGACCAATTTGAGTAACTATTGTTCTGGACTGAGTAGCCTCATGTTCACGTGCAAACATAAAAGCATAATCACAAGTATATGAAAGGATTATAATATTCATTTTTGGCTAAAAAAAGCCTTTTGTGACATAAAAATTTGATGGTTTTTGGTCTTAAAAAAGGTTAAAAGATTGGAAAAGATTTTCCCAGTTTTTAGTTGGGAATTATTTTTTGTGACATTGGATTCAAAAACCCATAGTTACCTTTCAAAGAGCCTGTGAAAAACTTTCAATGATTTCATTGCACGTGGAAGAAGATATGAGGAACAACTATAAGCAAGGCTGTTCCAATATTCTTTTTTGTTGTCGTTGTTATACAGTCGTCACCTGACTACAGTTATTATGCATTCTGTKTGCTGTCGATGGAAGACCAGATGGAGGAGAACTCAGGTCTAAGGGTTGAACTTACTAAAGTACTTCTCAATAAACAAGACATCAATATTGACTATGCTCTTAGGGTAAGTCAACTGTATGTTTGTCTGTCTGTCTGTCCGTCTGTCCGTCTGTCTGTCTGTCTGTCTGTCTGTCTGTCTGTCTGTCTAACTTACTAAAGTACACTGTACTTCTCAAAAAACAAGACATCAATATTGACCATGCTCTTAGGGTAAGTCAACTG